AACCAGAACATTCCAGGACGATTTAAACCACAACCGTCTGGTGCCACTTGGATCAAAGCCTTGGCTCAGGTCAATCGTGATCCTGTCTCTGCTGCCTGCACTGTGAGATCTGGGGATTTAGCTGAAGAATTGGACCAGAACCGCCATCCCTTCCCCAGCAGAGACCCAGACCTTCTGGCTGGTGCTGGGACAGAGAATCCAGGAGGTTTCGAGGACTGTGACAGGTACCAGCCTTAGCCCGAGTCCCCAGAGCCAGGACCATGGCGCACAGCCAGGGGCTTCCTGCTGACGCCCCAGAGACGAATCCTGGAGCTGCCCAGGAGGGATCAGGTGAGCAGGACGTTCCTTGGGCCCACTGGACACTCGCGGGAGAGGCTGGCAGGGGTCCTAGGTCAAGGATGAACTCGAATTCTCTCTCTGCCTGGCCCAGGGAGGTCTCAGAGGGGGAGGGGGAGAGAAACAGAAACTCCACCAGGGCACAGTGGGGGAAACAGACTCCAAGTGGGGAGAGACAGAGCCCTCTAAATGGTTAAATGGAAAAGAGGAAGGGGGAGACACAGACACCCGCCCCCCCAGGGGTGAAGGAGACACCAGGAAGAGGAGATATCTGGGGGCACAAAATGGCTCTTCCATATAGAGATGCCAGTGCAGAGTCCTGGGCCTTTGGGGTAACGAGCCTAAGCCAGGGGCCTTGGAGATGGGCACAGCCAGGTCTCAGGCTGCTCCTGGTAACCATGCCAGGGTCAGATGTCAGGGCTGGGGCAGACCAATGGGGCAGAGTGTCCATCCCCCGCAGGCCAGGGCAGCATCGGCACCGACAGGACGTTGTCTAGGGCTCTGTCCAACCTAGTTGCCAATGTGCCAAGCGAGGGGGCTCTGGCCCTTCCCTGGGCACAGCGTGTCAGATCCCTGACTGGTCGCTCCCCTGATATTCGTACTCAGGGAGTTCCCTTCCCCACCCCTTTCCCTTGCCCATGGGGGGCACCTTTGGGCCTGGGACACAGGGCTGGGAGCCAGAGGGGGATGCGCCGCAGGGGGCGATGGCCGCAGGAGTTGGGCTTTCATTCTGCTTTCAGAGTCGCATAGATCAGGGGAGTCGCCCCCTCGTCAGGGGGTCTCTGCTGGGAGCCCCGTTCCTGGGGAAACGGCGGAGCAGAGGGTCTCTGCCTCTGCAGGCCCCAGGGACCCAAGCCAGCAGACCTCAACGGCCACATCCATCACCAGCCACTCCTCCGCCCGCGGTGTGCAGCCTGCGGCCTCCAACCGCCTATGTGCGCAGCCTCCAGATCCACCCGGCGCCGGCGTGAAGAGAAAGCGCTCGGCACGTGTCAGAGAGGCCGAGGGGGAGGGAGAAGAAAAGACCCTTTTCTACATGCAGGTCAGGGTCGTGAACGGCGTCTCGGTGGCCTGGGAGACGGGGGCCGGCTTTGGAGCCATTAGGAAGCGCCCCCGCATCTTTAAGGCCAATTACATCGGAGGAGAAAGTTTTGCTGGCTCGGACCGGAGCAGCTCCCACACCAGGTCTGAGCTGGGGGACGTGGACCCCGAGCTGGGGGACCTGAACCCTGAGGCAGAGAGCGACGCTGGGGGACCAGCGGAGGAGGCCCCACAGCAGCCGATGGGAGCGCCCCCTGAGTGGCTCCTCACCCCCGAGCAGGGCCTGCGCTGCCTGGCCTGCTGCCGAGTCTTCCCCAGCCTGGAGGCCCTGACCCAGCATGTGAAGCAGGGGCTGCGTGAAGGCTTCAGCTGCCGCGTCTACTACCGGGTGCTGGGGCAGCTCAGGGCGGGAGAGCCGCCCCGGAAGAGACTTCGACGTGGGGGCTGGGAGTGCAGCAAGTGTGGGGGAGAGATACGGCGCCC